CACAACGCAATGCAAAGAGCCTCTAAAAGGCGAAGCTCGTGTGGAGATCTCAATACTCCGAAGTCAGCTTTGAACTAAAAACTGAGAACTAATGCTCTCCGGGCTTATATAGTTTTCCGTCGGCCTCCGAGAAATCTCTAGTATCCTCCAGTTCTTGAAATTACTGGAACGCACATACAGTTAAAGTTGCATATAAGGCTGGATACAGGGATCTATTAGAGTTATTCAGTTATAATTATATAGGAACCGGATAGAAAAATCACCAAATGGTCGCCAAGTTTGGCGACTTTTGGCGATTTATCGCCAAATTTGGCGGCAAAAATTAGTTGCCAAAAACATTGCTAGCTTAGCGATATCTCGCCAATTTAGCGAGTAGCCACTTAGCTCAATGTTACTTGCCTCTGTAATATTTTTCCAGCATAGCTTCACTCCGTTGTCTTATGTTTCGATAGGTCTTATGATTATGTTTTAGGTATTATGTTTCGACAGGTCTTATGTTTATTTAATATGTTTCAATAGGTCTTATGTCTTATGCCTTATGTTTCAATAGGTCTTATGTTTATGTTTTAGGTCTTATGTTTATGTTTTAGGTCTTATGTTTCGATAGGTCTTATGTTTATGTTTTAGGTCTTATGTTTCGATAGGTTGTATGTCTTATATCTTATGTTTCGATACGTCAAGATATGGAATGTTTTCCATTTGATTTATGTAAGCTTAGTGAACTCTATACTAACTCGACGTTTTGCTCTGTATGGTAAAATAAAAAAGGTTAAATTTTACGTTTATATAAAACCTTTCTATCCTTAGTGTTTAAATTTTTCCATAAAATTTTCTACCTTTTATCCAAAAAATTTTGTGATTAGAAATACATGTTTAGGGTAAATTAAAATCTGTGGTCACCCCTATTGAATATCCTATATATGAAACGCACGCTTTTTTTAAATATTTCAGTGCTTGATAATTGCAACAATTAATATTTTCTCAACAACGCCTTGCTTTATTTTGCTGATTTTAGCACTTTCAACTTTTTAAACAAATTCTATATGTTAAAATTCCTCACATACTTGAATGCGTAAAGTGTCTGCATTCATAAAAAAAGGGCTCGTCTTTTTTTTTTTTTTTTTTTTTTTTTCTTTAAACTTTTCTCTACTGTAAAAAGGAATTAAGCGCAGTTAATGTTCTTAAGTAGAGTATTTAAAACTGATATAAAATCTTTATCTAGTATTTAAGATTTCTGATTTGTTTCATTTTTAATTCTTTAAATCACGGGTCTTGGAGGTCTTCCAAAAATGCCACCGCTCCAACCAAAACTTCTTATTGATTATGACCAGACGGGATTATGAAATCGGTTGTTGTCGCAATCAAATTTTTTCACTTGTAAATGAGAAAAATTTTAAATTAGTATTAAAATTTGGTTAAAACAATTTTTGAATAATTTTTATTAGTAGAAAATATTATTTTGTGTCCATTTTGGATGCAAGTTAAACTAGGAATGGCCAAATCTGTATAAGCTGTTTGATCATTGAGATGATTGGGCTATTTAATCATTGAATACATGGCGTTTACAACTGGTTCTCAGTTGGTAATTTCAACTCAGTGATCAATTAGCTTATACAACAAGTATATGCGTTCCAAAAATAATTCAAAGCAAATATTTTTTTACAAACTTCTCTTTTAAAAATTAGGATTTTTTACGCTTTTAATTTCCTATAATTAAATTCGAGAAAGAGTATTCCAATGCCGTTTTAAAGTACATGATAAAAATAATTTATCCTTTAAAATGACTTTCTGAAAACTTACGTGCGCAACCCAATATATAAAAAATACAGTAAGGTTTTTTTTTGTCGCTTATCTCTTAAAGTTTAAAAGAAATCATATCTTGTGGAATATCATCAGCTTAACAAACTCATCTGAGGCCGGCCCTTTTGCACTTTCTAACTCCTATTTTTTTTCTTGCACACATTTTAAAGTGCGAAATAGTTTCGTATATGAAGCCATATTATATTTAGGGCGATATATAACTAATTTTCTTCAGACTTACGTATGATATTGTTAACGCTTTCATTGCCAGTTTTACTTCATAAGACTTACATATTTATTCCAAATATGTTAAAACAAGTACCTTTGTTATTTTACATTATTTTCAGTTATCAGAATAAATTATCGAGGAATGTAACACTTTGTCAATGTTCATTTGCGATTATAGGTTTGTCCCAATAACATGAATTATATAAAAAGTTATAAGATATTTTCCCCTCCTTCTTAGCATACCTTCGCTGTGTAATGGTTAGCACACTCGGCGCGTATTCGAGAGGTCCGTGGTTCGAGTCTCGGCGAGAGCATTGCTCATTTTTCATCTTTCCTGCTTCGGAATAACCTAATTGTCTCTACAGTGGCGTCCGAACTAAAAAAAAGGTGTTGAATGATGATGCTTCACCACCAGGATTTGGCGATTGGGTCCCCTTAAACCCCAGTCGCCCTTTAAAAGGGGGAGTATATAAGGTATTTCTCCCGCCTTCTTAGCATGCCTTCGTGGTGTAGTGGTCATCACACTCGGCGCGTATTCGAGAAGTCCGTGGTTCGATTCCTGGTGAGGGCATTGCTCAGTTTTTCTCCCCTGCTTCGAAATAACCTAATCTCTCTGTAAAGTTATATTAAAGTTTCATAATATGCTTCAATTTGTTAACATAATTTCACTCCAATTTTCGTGTCTATACTTGAGGCATATTCATTTCTACGCTAATAATATGCTTATGAATGATTAAAGGAAATAATTAAAGTTATTCCGAAACAATTAAAATCAATTTTAAATAGGTAAATGAAGTGCCCTATATGTGCATACTCAAGTATGCGTGACAAAGTACGATTATATAGTATCGTGATAATCCTTCGGTTCATCGCATTTTATATAGGTAAGTCCACTCAGATTAAATATTTCAGATCTACCATATATTCTGACGTACCTGTGCATAACGCGTACCTATAATTTCAAGCTATATTTTTTTAGATTTTAAGTATATTCGAGGTATAACGTGCACTCTTTCCTTTATGTAGAAGCCTGAAAGATGCATGCGCGATATTCTAATCTTTTGAAGTCATTCATTCAAAGAATTATCCCAGGCCTTTCAAGCAAAGGTGTATTGAATTGATAAAGCGATAAGGAGAACGATGTGCGTGTGAGGAAAATGATGGAGGGATAAATAATTCTGCAAATAGTGTGCGTTATATTCAATTCAGGTGTGCACAACAATGCTATTCTAGTGTTTCGAGAGAAGGGGGAACATTATTTGAGGAAATAATGGACTTCCGACTTGAAAGAATTCGCGGAATTAGCAGTTAGATGTTTTCTCTTTCTGTAGCCAACTGAAGCCGTGATTTTGAAGTGAACATCGAAGGGAAAGGAATCCAAGTGCGTCACGCCAGTCTATAAATAGTGTCTGAGTAGATAATACAAAAATGGAAGGAAATTAAACCCAATTTAATGCAAAAGTCATTAAAGAAATATACAGCATCTAACAGTGAAGATGAAACAGAATTCGATGATGTTCCTGAAGATATAACGGAAAGCGAATATGACGAATTTTTCATGCTGTCAAATAAGGAAGTTTTCTAAGTTTATTAGGAATAACATTTCTTATAAACAAACAATATTTAGATACATACAGAAATGTAATTTTTGTATGCTTATCTTCTCCTTATTTTTAAATCTATCATTTTGATATCCGACGTATCCCGTAAGTTTCGATCTCATGTTTTGTATTAAAAGTGCGCCTTATACGACGTAATATACGGTACCTCTTTTTACTTCCTTGTACGAAGTAAAAAGGAAGTATTGTAATCGCGAAAAGTTTCAGGCAGCATATTTCAACGAAAATATCAATTTTTCGTGGCGTCTGTACGAACATATGTACGTACGTACGTACGTATCTCGCATAACTCAAAAACGAGTAGCCTCAGAGCTTTGAAATTTTGCATATAGGACTGCTATAACATGTTAGATGTGCACCTCGTATTTTGGTTGCAATCGGCCGCACCAAACGTATATAAATATATTTATATATATATCCACTCTGTTACCCGGCTCAGTGATCTCAGTTTCTTTACTCTTATATGTTTGTAAATTGTACATTTTTTGCTTAAAAAATGATTGATGTTTTTATCTTCCGGTTAAGGATCTTATGTCTTTAGTAAATCTGTGTGCAATAATTTTAGAATTATCAGCAATTTTAAAGTTGTTTGATTGCCGCTAAGCCTGTTTTTAATGACGGCCATTGATGTTTACATTTGAAACAGGAGACTAGTGGATTTGTTGCCAATCTAGAGAAACTTAGCTTCGCAACAACAAAGATAACGCATTCATTTATTATTGCCAATTAAATCATGCTTAATTCTTTCTGGAATTTTTTCGAGGAAATAAGCGTTTGAGATTTACTTCGCAATTTTTAATATAGATATTTTGAGTTTTTATGTATTTTTGCCTTCTCGCGAAGTGAGAACTGAATTAATTAAATGAGAAATACTCAATCGTCTGTCAAAAACTGTTTCTTTTTTGTATCGTTTGCTTAATTTCTTTTATACATAGTTCTAGCTTTATTATAGTATTTTGAATAGAACATGGCAATGATTAGATAATTCTTTAAATGATATACATTTTGTGCATTCTGAGTTATAATATGAATGAAATATAATACTGTTAAGTGAACCTAGCGCCAGAGTGTCGCTATGGTAAACAAAGTGAATTTTAAAGAATGCATTTATTCTATTGTGGTTTATGCGCTGTCGGCGAAGTAGGTTTAATTCAATCTAATAAGTTTAAATAAAATGCAAGAAAAAAATGCGTATAATTTAATATTCCGTACAAGGAAGTCATGTGGTGTACACATCAGATTTTTTAAAAAAAGAGAAAGAAAATGTGTTAAAATTGTTGCTGTTATTTTCTTGCTGTTGAAATCAATTTAATATGCATCTCAATGATATGCCTTATTTCATTGTTTTTGTAGATATCGACGAGTGCAGCACAAACAATCCATGCGCACATGTCTGTCATAATACACCTGGCTCTTATAATTGCATGTGTCACCTATCCTTCCAACTTGGAAATGATGGTCGTTCCTGTTTCCGTAAGTCAATTTGTTTTTCATTTCTTATAATAATTGTAAAAGTACTTTAATTTTCCAGTTAGTTTTTATAAGGTAATTGTCCTTATTTTAATATGTTCTGCCTTGACAGCTTTATTAAGACCTTTTATTCAGTCTTCTTGTTTCTTTCTCTTTTTTTTTCCCCATTTCTTACCTTTTCTTTTTTAAATATTTTGAATACAAGCGAAAGCATTTTAAAGTTTTCATCTGAACGCAGAATACAGATTTTTAAAACACTTTGTAAAAAATATAAATAACGTTAAAATGGAATAGCAACCTTCTAACAGTTATATATTTCTTTATAATGCTTGTGTGTCTATTTCTGGCTTTAAAAAAACTCCGTGTCCTTTAATAAATTTTCATACCAGTTAATATCAATAATAAACAATAAATGTCAGGTAAAAATCGTAAACTGTGTATTCATTTTAAATTACTTCTATTGGGGGTTTTCAAAGCTAGTTGTTTTTATATTAATTCCAGAAAAGATAACGTATGCAGAAGAAGTGAAATTTCGAAGATATTTTAACATACACAATAATATAAAAAATGCATTTATTTTAAAGACATTTTAAAAAAAGGGATATCTATCTAATTAGAATTGATAGGCGCTTTATAGTTTGTTTTTAAAATAGATTTTGCTACTTTTAAAACATGTAAAGTAAATATTATGCTTAAAAGTATGCATAGTATTGTAGAGACATTAGGTATTTTTTGGAAGCACGAGAGATGAAAAAATGAACAACGCCTTCGCCGGGACACGAACCACAGGCCTCTCGAATAGCGTGTAGAGTGCTGACCACTACACCACGAAGGCATGCTTTGAAGGTGGAAGAAATACCTTACATACTCCCCCTTTAAAGGGCGACTGGGGATTTGGGGGGACTCAGTCGCCACATCCTGGCGGTGAAGAATCGTTATTCGCCACCTTTTAGTTCGGGCGCCACTGTGGAGACATTAGGTATTTTTTAGAAGCAGGAGAGATGAAAAATGAGCAACACCTTCGCCGGGACTCGAACCAAAGGCCTCTCGAATGCGCACCGAGCGTTGTGACAACTACACCACGAAGGCGGGATAAATACCTTATAGTATAATTATAAGTCGTTTTTATTCACTGAAGCGGAAAAATATATATTCCGAAAGCATACCTTTTTACTTCCAAATATGAAACTTTCAGAAATATCTGCCAGAAATAGATGCTTAGAATGACGGTTTTTTTTTTTTTTTTCCCTTACTTTCTAATTTATTAATCGGTTTCAAAGAAACCCTTTACAAATATGAATAACTTAAAAACAATATACAGGATTGAAACAGAATATCAATAACTTTAAAATATCAGTAACTTAAAATATCATACGTACATGAATTTTTAAAATGTTGCATAAAGGAGACTTGAAATTAAAAATGCACGTACAGATAGACAAAGTACTGCCTATTAACGAATAAAATTCATACATAGCAAGCTAATTTTTGTAAGTTTTCCACTTGTTAGATTTGGTCAGTTGTAACCTTTTCATTTTAAATTGTTATCCTTTCAGGAATTGAAATGGAAGTGGTGAACACATGCGCGGATAAAAACGGTGGTTGCGATCAAAAATGTCGCCATGGACCAGGGGGACCAATATGTAGCTGTTACTCAGGGTACGAACTTGATGCTGATGGTAAAACATGCAATGGTAAGTAAAGAGTATGAGAAGATAATTCAAGGTGATTTTTAAAACTTATTTTTCATTTTCACATGAGTTCTACCTCTTCTCTGTTTGGTAGAATTTCAGTTCAATTTTTTGCTCTGAGAATATTGTTAAATTATGACATTCAATAAGTTTTTATATTCCTACGGAGTAAAAAAGTATATATATATATTAAAAATTTTATATGTGAAGAATTGCATACTGTAAAAAACTACTGACTAGGAATTAAACATAATTTAGGAAATGGAAACTAGAAAAAACCAAGAAGGTAATATGGGATAAAATGCACATCAAAGAGAAAAGAAATGCGTTAGAAGAAGCGTGTATGAGTTAACTAATATAAATTAATACAGTTACAGGTGAAAACATCACGCCAACATCGTGGGAGAAAAAGAAAGCAAAAAGAAAACATCGCGATAAAAAATAAACTTATGCAGAAACTTTGCAGATTTAAAACATCGTCGTTCAAATTATCGTGATAAAAAGTAAAGCACCTACAAATCATCGTATGATGATAATAGCGCACAAATGAGAATTCTGATTGGAAAAATTTTAGGCGAATTTTCTCTGCTACATTGATTTGTGACCCCAGGAAGAAACAAGTAATATTTTACCTTTGTTTTTATATTTTTGTATTAATTAATACATTTTGAGAGAAACGGCAAGAAGGTAACTTAAGCATTCAAAATCTGTAAATTAGTAAAAATTAATGCTACATATAGCCAGTTAATAGAATTTTAAACTTATGCATCCTTCTCTTTGTAATCATTTTTATATGACACTTTTTCATGAAAAGTGTTTATGAAAGAGATTATTAAATAATGACTTTTAATAGTTTGCAACATAAACATAAAATTCTATTAACTACTATTAGTAGCATTAAGTATTATTAATTTCCAGATTTTTAATGTTTAAGTTTCCTTTTTGCTTTTTCAGTAAAAACTTATTATTTAATACATCAATATGAAACATAGAGGAAAAAATATTACTTGCTTCTTCTTACGCTCACAAATCAATGCATAAGAATTCTCTTAAAACATTTTTTAAGTCAGAAAACGCGTTTCTGCGATGTTATCATCATTTAATGATTTGTAAGTGCTTTATTTTTATCACGATATATTCTGTAAGGACGTTTCAAATCTGCAAAATTTTAACACCGTTTTATTTTCTAGAACGATATTTTATGCCACTATATTTGACATCTGCAATGTTTTCTATTTGCATTCTTTTCTCTCATAAAGTTTTGTACGACGACGATTCTTCCTTGCATTGTTTTTTCCTCGACATTTTAGTCCGAAATATTTTCAGTAGACACCATTAATGCCTGTTCAGTTAAATCTAGCATATCAGGCACTCTATCAAAACTTACAAAATCCAATCAGACAGAGATAAATTAATGTTCTAAAATATACGCTATTTACTTACGTACAAAAAATATTAAACTGTTGTTGATAGTGATGTTAATTGGTGAGCTTTACGGAAATGTATTTCTAATGCATGGAGTTTCGATATATCTTCCTATACCAGAGACAAATACATCGTGTACAAAGGTTGTTTAATAAGTTCTAATTGCGATTGTATAGTTACAGGATGATGAATCGCTGCGAAACGATTGCAGGACTTAGAAAGCATACATGGGATGTTTTGAGAAACTGCTAAATGTTGTCAGTGAATTATGACTGTTAATACTGAAAATATCAAACATCATTCGAAGATTAATTTTTGATAAAATAAAATGTAATTCCGAAACATATTCACAAAAGCATGGCTGCAGTCTGTAGTGATGTGCCTTTTTCTGTACGCCATCAAAACGGCTGCAAATGTATTTAGATATGGAAGAACGTCACTCAAGTATGATCCCAGCGTAGGACGTGATGGTGATAATACCGTTAAAGAAATGTCGACTAAAGTTGAGGAATGTGTGAAGGAAAGTCGATGAATGACAGTTTCTCAGATTGCTACGGAAACTGGAATCGGTGAAAACATTCTTGCATGAACAGCTGCGGACGCAGAAGATCGTAGGTTGATGGATCCCCTGTATATTGAAGAGACAAAGGAAGAACCACTGGGTTGAGTATCTTTCATAAATGCTATTTATACGAACGCCGATAAATAGTTTTATTCACAACTCATGACAGGAGAGGAAATATGCCTAAACCACTATGACGTAGAAACAAGACAAAGAAGCATGGGGAACTCAGTAGATCTGCCTAGCCACACCAAGTACAGAACTCAAAAATCTGATGAAAGGATTTGGGGCACCATATTTATAGACGAAAAGGCATCACTTTTTATCGATTATGTATCTTATGATATCAAGATAAAAAGGTTTTATTATTCTAACTTGTTGGCTCACCTCCAACAAACTACAAATGTAAAACGCCGTGACAAACTCTGCAGAAATGCATTGCTCTTACATGACAGTGGTCCATTACACAAGCTGAGATTTTCCAGGTTGCGCAACCTTTCACCCATCCATCAGACTTGTCCCCACGGGAATCACTTTTGTTTCAAAAGCGGAGGAGCTCTGTAAGGATCGCATCATAATGACGATGATAGTTTTAAAAATATCGTACAGGAATGCGTGGGATAAAATCCTTTCCTCTGCTGCAGTCCGACGCTTAACGTATCACTGTGCTAAATGCGTTGAAGTCAAGGACATTATGTAAAAATTTTAGAAAGCAATTGAGACATTACTTTAAATAAATGAGTTAGGATTAAAACTTATGGAACATTCGCTCTGTTTTTGATGAGGATCTGGAATTCCGTTATAATTTGAAGAAAACCATTTTGTGAAATCCTATGTATCCCGTAAGTGCTCCGTGGAAGGATTTTCACTGAAAATTGCATTTCCATAAATATCCAAGAAACGTTTTGAAAACATGAGTAATTCTTCGTAAAGTTTGTGAATAACCGAAACGGATAACATTTACACAAGCTTCGAAAATCTTATCGCCTGCGATTTTCAATGTGACTCCTGATCAGTTCATTTGGGATGCATGATATGTGATTTGACCCAATATCTTCTTATTTTTATCCTTACTGTCACTTCTACTTCGTCGGCTCCGAAAAGGGTGCAGATTAGTTAATGTATTTAACAGGAGTGGCCAAACTTTATGTCAGTAAAAGCCGCATGTTGGAATTCAGTAATGTTTGAGAGCCGCAGCTAGGTTTTCCAAAAGCCACAAGTGTATACTTACATCATTTTAAAAGTAGTGAAACAGGTTTCAAATGGAAAGAAACATGTAATTCTAAGCAATCATTCAATGAGAGTTTGATCGTAAGCCGGGCTATAGCCGGGCCATCCCTGGTATATCAGAATGGTGTTTTTGAAATCTAGGGTGATCTTTCGGCAGCGATCGCTGTCCTTAGTACTATTTTAGCCCAGCACTTAAGAGTTAACCAAATCGGGTTTAGTCCTTGCTAGCCGTGTTTGCTCTTGTGTTCAGAGGGTATCAGCTTAAGCTTATATCGGACTTCGCCGCGTGACTGCACACTTTAACTACTTCAAATTTTACTCTAAGTTTTATGTCGGTTTAAAATCCGCAAGCTGCGTTGAATATTTTCATAATACATAAGCTGTGTAATCTGTTAAGTTGGAGTCACAATAAAAAAGTTTATTTCAAATCTTCTGAGTTTTCCAGTTATTTCTATGGAAGTCTAAACCAGGATGATAAGTCGATTGATTGTCTGCATGGAACCAGAAATTAGCTTGAAATGCTCCAGTTCCGCATAAGCGTATCTTAACTACCTAACTATATACCTTTGCTCTTCTCATTCTTTGATGCTAACTTTATATACTGCTGACTCTTCGCCTTTGTTATATTCTGACTGTGAACGCAAGATACAGCACAAAATTTAACTTAAAATTTTAACCCTAAGTATATTGGAAATGTTTTCGGTCTCTGTTTCTCTGCTAATCACTCAGTCAGCAGAATTTAACTTTATTGCTTTTGTGCATAAATATTCTTCCGTGAAAAGTAGCCGTGAGAATGTGGCAAACATCCAACCACTAATCACGAAATAAATTAAATTACTGGTGTCTGAAACGTCTTTCCGATGTACATATGCAAGCACTTGCAAATATTTTATCTGCTTAGGATTAGGATTCAGATTACATCAAAACACTCAAAGAATGCCTTCGTGGAAGAAGTATTAAATTCAGCACCTCATTCATCAGGATTTGAGTGGACTGACTGCAAAGGTTGGTTTTAGTGGTTTCCTCCTTATACAACATGAATACGAGCCAGTTTCCCTCAGGAAGTCCTCCATGAAGGCATTCCTCCTCTTCGGCAGATAACCATTGTGGCTTTGCCATATTCAAATAGTCTAAACTAACTGTTCTTTTGTTGTGCTGGAGGGTTAGTATGTGAAGATTTTACCAGTATGTCTAATGTCGCTGATGTCTCTCATGCCTATATTTTTGTCTTTTCAGATACCACATATAAAGAACTAAAGTATTTAATAGCTTAGTTTCATCTCCTAACATTTTTTGAAAACTTCTTTCTGATCACCTATCACATCGTTATTGTAGACATAATTTTCCCTAGTTTGATATTACTTGCTTTTGAGATTCTCCTCTCAGTTCTGAAGCTTTGTTATTTTTTCACTTGAGATTGTTCCTTCGTTGCCATTTCATATGAAGAGAGTAATCGCGAATTTCTCTAATTTATGTGTACTAGCTGTTTGATATTTTCGGGTTGAAGAAAGAATAGCAGTAAGAAGTAAATACATAATATTCAATGAAATTCTGAATAATCATCTTTGCGAATTTTAATTTATATCGTAGTAATGAGAATATTATGAAAGATGGTATAAAATAACAGGTAATATTGATAGCACACAAGAGAAGTGCTTTAATTCATTACAAGTTGTCTATCTATTTGTAATCACCTACTCATCGTAAAGTAGTCGCGAGACTAGTTGCATTTTCGTTGACGATTTTCACTTTCATACACCATCTGAATTTTAAAAAAAATTGCTTTTGAATTTTCTCTAGAAGTAATGTATGATCGTAAGAATGGCAAGGCAACTTAACAAATAAATATTACAAATTTTTTTCACCGAGTCTGCTGATGTTAATTTTTAGTTTGGTCTTCAGTTATTGCCTTTAAGAAAGAACCTATATTAAAAAGTTATATCCAGGTCATTGTTCTCTTTTCTCTGCTATCATTTAGAAAGTAAAGAATGTTCTTTCAGACAGTAATGTCCCAAACAAAGCTAGAAATTCAATCGCATGATTTTTCAGTCCATGATTTAAGTTTTTCAAATCTTGAAAAGTAATAAAGAATCTATAAAGTGAATAAATATTTTTAAATCAAATTTTATGGCTCTTTCTGAATGGGTTTTTGAAATTCTTTGTCAGTGGTGACAAATGGAAGTTTGCGACTGTAGAAAGAAGTTAGAATGCTTTTCACTGGAACTCGCATTTTTTTGGAAAAGTAATTTGATCCTCATTAATTACATATGAGTAATTATCTTTTGTATTAATATTATATGATAAAACAAAAATGATAATTAACACGAAATGGCTTTACGTGGTTTTGCTGTGTATGGGTGATATGAGAAATCCTTAAGGGTTACCAAATATCATTGTCACTTCGAAATGTTCATGAAAATTAAGATTCATTCACGCGATCCACCTTGCTTATAAAATGAGTTAGATATTTTAATTAATTCAAAGTTATAGAAGGGTAATAAAATGAGCGTTTCGTTGCAAGATAAAGGCACAGAATCATGGGGTTTTATCAAAAAGCTCATTTCCAAAGCCTGAAGAAAGAGCATATTTTATATGCTCTGACTTCAGGATATTCAGGCTTCAGACTAGTAAATTTTTTTAAAAGATTTAAAGTCATTTTATTGAGTTTTTGTCTCTCTAAATTGTTGTAATATTATGTACTGTTTAGTTATTTGTTTATATTGAGATAATAATTTTAGGTTTTATTTTATTTATAATTGAATTTGTGTGCATACGATTTGAGTATAAGTGTTTATTTCTCATAAGTTAGAACCGTAAATCTTTCGAATTCGGAACCCATCAATATTTTGTACGTAATTTGTAAAATAACTCAAGATATAGGCAAATTTGCGCTCCAAACGGGTCTTGACGACTTTCCGGAAGATTTGGAAAAACGCAGTTTCGAAACCCTGCTGCCAAGTTTTCCAAAATCTCTAGAAGCTTGTGCTGCACCATATTAATAGGCTCTTAGAACCACGATGAAAGCGTTGTCAATCCCCTGTGAAATTTAAGGTTACAAAGACAGTTAGCTGAGTTGCGTTTTACAGTTTGTTCTGCGAATGATTTTAGAATTTACGCTATTTCGAGTGCACTGATGATGAACTTCTAGTTTCGCGTTTGCCTTGAACTATTTGCAGCTAACTTTTCTGCATATCATTATTATTTATTAGTAAAGAATGTCACAATTTAAGTGACATTCTTCCTGCTCATCCTAAGTAATTATTTAAAGAGACAAGACTTGGCAGTATTAAATTTAAATAAATGTGAAAGTGGTGTGGTAGAATAGTCGGTGTTTTGGACGGGGAGATTGATGAGTTAATTATAACAAAGCCTTCAAGACTGCTAATCTGAAATGAAGATTTCTTCATTGGGAACTTGCTGTTTGTATCTTGCATAGCACATGGAGAAAACTCCAAAAGCATTTCCTGCAGCCACTCCCTTCAATTGCCAGGAGCAGAAATTAATTACTACGGCCTTAATATTCGTCCAGTGATTAATTTTATGACATGAAACTTCTTATTATTAGTATTTACATCCATATGCAAAGAGAATTTTTAAATCTAGAATTATAGATGCAAAAGGGATTTACATATAAATGCAAATGGAATTGTCCTGTTCTTTAGACTATGCGACTGTAGTTTAATTGGTATATATAAGGTGTTCTCTAATAAGATGCACATTTAGAAAGGGTATGAGCAGCATAAAAACTTGCAGCACATACCAGTTTCTAATACCCACCCCCAGCCCACCAGTGCTCAGTCTTAAAACCGTTGATCATTGGTAATTCGCCAATATTTGAGTCGGGAAAGGACTGGCTACACGGATTTTTTCATGGTATCCCTATGTGTAACATAAATATGAGCTAGTTTACTCAAAACAGGATAAGTAAACTCAAGTAACAGGTAAGTACAGGTACACTACAGACAGGTAAGTACTCAAGACAGGATAAGGTAAACTAGCTCATATTTATGTTGCACATAGGGATACCATGAAAACATCCGTGTAGCCAAGCCTTTCCCGACTCAAGTATTGGCGAATTACCAATGATCAGAGGTTTTAAGACTGAGCACTGGTGAGCTGGGGATGGGTATTGGAAACTGGTATGCGCTGCAAGTTCTTATGCTGCTCATACCCTTTCTAAATGTGCATCCTATTAGAGAGTCCTCCTCGACGAAGGTTTCCCTCTGGTGAGGCAGATACCCCTCGGGTGTTTTGCCATATCGATGTGAACTTGCAAGCCAATCCCCGCGCTGTAATGTCTATAAATAGGCAATGTTGCTAACATACATGCTTTAATGTTCGATTTAGGAAGAAAAAAAGTGTTTTCATTCATTTTCAGTCAGTCAGTATGAAACGTTATGACATATTCATTATACTGATATTTGTAATTTTGTATATGTGCTGTATTTCAGATGTAGATGAATGCTCTCGTGGCTTGTCTCAGTGTAAGCAAGACTGCAATAATAGCCCTGGAGGCTATTCCTGTGCATGCCGTTTTGGTTACTCATTGGATAGAGATGGTATAACCTGCAACGGTAAGGTTTGAAGCCTCTCAATTATTATAAAATTTTATTTCATATTAGTAAATTTGTAGAAATACTTTTTTTTCAACAGACTTACCCTGACAAGACATGTGAGATTAATTCTCACTCCAGATAATTCTAATGTTTCTGCATTCAGAAGAATATCTTCGTGGTGGACTTTGTAAAGTAAAATAGTTTTTATCTGCACTACATGGGGTAAATTTTACAATCAAAATTTTTCTTCGGCATCGTTACCATCAAGAATATTCAAATGAGGCTTTGTTTTGAAACTGGTTGTTCAGTAATAAGTCATCTCTCCAGCGAATTTTCATTTCAGTGCTTGGTTTGAATCTCGGTTAAGAAAGAACTACGTACAATAATTCCATCCATTTTTATGCATGTATTTGTCTGAATGCTAATTAAACTAAACTGTAAGCAATAAGATCGATCATAAGTAGCTTTCGAGTATAAAAAATAACTGCAAATTGGTAAATGACAGCTTTGTAGTAGGACTGAATTTATATTCAGATTTGTATATTAAATTACCTTAGAGCCATTAAAAGAAGTCAGGACGACCCATCCTGTCTAAATCTCGACTTCATTCATTCATCTAACATTGAACTTTGCATAAATCTTATCTAGTGTTATCTGTTGTGCACGTTTTGAAAATGAAAAGTCTATTAAATATCTGACATATCTAACATTTAAGTTGAGCACCACTCTAAAATCTTGGTACCTAGACTCGAATATATAACCTTTCTCGGTACCTATTCAAGCTTCTGATAATTTATGTTTCATGATTAGCATTTGGGTCATAACTTGGGCGTTATCGATGACTATGAGTTATCTAATGGGTGTTTCCTTTGCAACTTAGTACAATTTTCCGAAAATGCAACGAAACTCGCAAATAAACTTTAAAGAGCGTTACAGAAACATTATTTATTTTCCTAAAGAAGAGTCGATAAGGAGTGCAAACGTCACCGTTGTATCAGCTGAGTCAGAAACTCTAATACTGTACGATTCACAGATGCAAGTTTGCTGTTGAGAACACTGGCTTTTGTACGCAAAATATTGCTTTTTATACACAATTTATGAGATATTTCATTAGTGTGAAATCTTGCATTTGCAATTCAAATACTATTTCCAGGCTCTTTATAATCAGAATATTATCAATTTTGCTTTACATATTTCATAAAAATTTTGGAAAATTTTTGGCCTTTACTACTAAAAATAATGAAAGATCGAGTAGAAAACAAACTTAGTACCCATCCGTGAAATGCATACTGAATATATTTAATATTGTCAATTTTATTAATGCATTTTAAATGACAATGAATTTCTACTTTAGTAACCACTGAGCCCTCCGTTACCACCAGCATACTACTGAGTTTTTGCTACTTCATTCTCTTTACATAACTGAAAATATTTAGAGATTTCATATATTTCTCGTTTGCTAGATATATAATTAAACACGTTTTTGATTAATTTTTTTCTGTTTCGTTTATTTTAGTAAAATTTAAAATTTAGTTGTGAATTTATTGTTTTTTTAAAGTACATTAAGTTTAAAGGAAAAACAAAAAGCATTCATAAAAATTTTTTAATATTTAGGGACAGAGATAATTCAAAAATATTTGAAAGAACTGAGCTAGGCATGCATGAAAAACGCATAGGCATTGGATTTGTACGATCTTGCGCTAGCTGGAAGCCGACGGCTCAGCTAGTAATCGAAGGATTTTTTTTTTTATTATGGCAAAGCACATAGAGCTATCCGCTTTATAGGGTAGAATGCGTTCGTAAAGAGCTTTCTAAAGGAAACTGCCTCCTATTTCAGGTTAAATATAGGGAATACCACGAAAGCTATGCCGCCAACCCGGCTCAAACTACCAGTATCCAGCGGCTTCAACCGCTCGACCCAGTTCGTAATTGAAACTAAAATAAAAACAATTTACAAATGTTAACCACCAAAAATTGAAAATTGTGACACCTTTCGATAGACGTATTTTGATAGACGCTTTTTGATATAGTTCATCTTTTGATAGACACTTTTCGCTTTCGCAGATTTAATTTTAAAAATATGACAATAAATTCATAAAAATAGCATTTCACCTCCTTCAGATTTTTAAGTCTTTCAATGCTCTAAATGTATTTCTTAGAATAATAGGTTTAATCCTAGTATCCGGTGCACACGGGATTTGGCTACTTTTGGCGACTTTATGATGAGCAGTACAAACGCGACATATACGATGAGTAGTAAACAGGTCATTCAAAGAATATATATGGTTATACATAGTATATACTATATATGTATATACACTATATATATAGTATATACTATGTTATATACACACATAGTATATAGTGTATAGTATATATATATACACGTTTTTTGGATCATTTTTGGTGTTGGCGATAATTTTCAAAGTCGCGCCAAGGCTGCACCGTATACTAGGATTTTACCGAATAATATTACATGAAACCTTGGGAAAGCTTTATAAAATAATTTAGTACGTTTAGAAGATAGTTATACAGTGTATTAATGACGAAATACGCGAGAGGTGTATCTTTGCAACAATTTCCTTCCTTGAAGAATTTTAAAATGAAACATGTTTCTATTTTCATTACACATGAAGGATAATCTCAAAGCTATCACAGCTAAACTGTTTGTTGGACGTTGGATTCACTTTTAATCGTCTTACGCTCTCAGGTGGAAATCCTAAAAATGGCCTCATGAGAATCTTCAAAATTTTTTGTGCATGGCAAAAATTTCACACCTTTGCCTTATTCTGAATGAACCACAGATTCATGCAGTATAGCGAGCAAATTTCGACATACATCACATAAGGAAAAACAAAAGTACTTATGGAAATATCAAAGTTACTGTGCGCTAATTAGTGTGACTTAAGAGAAAGAAACTTAAAATAGACTAGGATACAGCGTTTTAGGCTAATTAAAATTCCATTTGTACGTCAAAATATTAAAACTTATTTTCCAAAATGAAAAGAACTAAAAAACAAACCAATAAAAAATTGTATATTGTTACAACTGTACTGTTGGAGAGATAGAAAACAAATAGTGAAAGAGTTTCAAAACAAAGACTGTAACTGAAGCATTGTGCAAAAAGATGGTACGAAAAAAGTCGTGATTTCTTTCAGTGATTACTTTTACTTCTGAGAATTAACAAAGGTATCAGTACCAGTTATTTTCATGATGCCTAGATGGTTCTTAAAATTATCATAAACTCTTGAAAAATTAACCCTTTGACTGCTAACTGCCCTAAGTTGAAGCGGTTCGCGTGAGCGACGTGCGGCTGCAGAATGACTGACAAAATAAACCAGATTCTTTTTTTTTTCTCGTTGCTACGCAACGAACAATATATGTAGTTTCTGCCAGTGTTGGAGGTATAGGATAGAAATAATTTCCAAACGTAACACATAAGACAGCAGTAAAGAGCCGAGCGCGCATTTGCGTCTGCGCCATACGCACATATGCGCCCACAGGCCTCAGCGATGGTTTTTTGCTGGACGCAAATATGCGCCCATAGCAGTCAAAGGGTTAAAGAAATACGATCAAAGAAATACGATTAAAGATGGAAATGCATAATATTTTATAAAATTCTGAAATTACGGATTCTGCAGTTACCAAGCTACACTGTTAGCCATGTAAACTGCAACTCCAAGAAGAACAAAACCATATTTATTGGACAAAGTATTAATGAGTTGTAGAGACATTAGGTATTTTTTGGGGAAAGCAAGAGAGATGAAAAATATGCAACGCCTTCGCTGGGAATCGACCCGCAAAGCTCTGGATACGCGCCCAGCGGGCAGACTACCACACCATGAAGGCATGCGAAAAAGGCGGGAGAAATACCTTATAGAGTAACATTTTTACAAAGGCGAATTAGTTAAAATTACAGCCCTGTTCGATTTACTGAACGCAAATAAATCAGCATTTTATGTAACCTGCACTGTTGGCAGTAGCTGTGCGGCGCAATTCGGTGCTGAAAAATGAAGTTTCAGGTATGCACTCACGGTGTATCAGTCCAAGCTATTTCCACAGGTACAGGTAGAAATGGGCGGAACACTATAATTTCACCATTAGACTTACAGGTATAGTCCCGCCTCACTAATTCTGTAGTTCCGCTCTAGTTTTGAGCTAAAGCTATCCGTTCGAGGATTACCCACCCACTTCCCTACCACCAACCTCCCGAGAAAACTTTCATCTCGCCGTGCATTTTGAATGCCCCCTAGAACATAGACGCTATATTCTTACAAAAATCCATACTTTCTCAGGGATGATTCGAATCCAGGCCTGTCGGTATGGCAGTCAGTGTCACTAACTATTATGAGGAGTCATAACTATAACTACTATGAGGAGACAGTCAGTGTCACTAACGTATGAGAGTTCATCTGGCGTAGTCTTGGATGATGTATGTTAAGCCAGACAGGTGCGATGATATCGGCCAAACAGGTGCGATGAGTAGAAAAACGAGATGGCCAAGGCAGCTGTGCAACGTGATGGGCAACGAAAATAGCTGTTGAACTTTGTGTGCCATGTTGCGCATAATGCGCATTGTCCTGTTGAAACTTGACGGAGAGTACAATAATGGAGGACAATAGACTTGGAAACTTCGGAGATACAGTGGCTGTTGAGTATGAGGGCAATGCGCATTAAGTCGGTGCGAATGTAAAATTCTATGACACTATTCTAAATTCTAAAATTCTAGGTAACGTACCAGTATAGCGAAGCATAATGCAAAGGTCAGGATGTCTGTCACCATGGTGCCGCAAGCCTCGGTTACGACCATCGTGGTATCGTACGCAGAATGGAGATTCGTCTGAAAAGACAGTGTCGTGGCATCTGTTCGTATATGTCCGGCATTCAATGCACTATTGCTGCTGGAGACACGTGTGTTAAAGATTCAGCAGTAATCTTTGCAGTAGCCTCCTTGCATAGGTTCCCCTAGTCTATGCAGACAACACCGAATGGAATGCGCTGACAGATGTTGTTATGAA